AATTGTGAATCGAATCGTGAAATCAAAATCGTGAATCGAATCGTGAGTTGAGTGAATCGTTACATCCCTACTCGTAAGCATAAAAAACTTTAAAAACATTAAAAAAATCTTACCAACCTCAAACTTTTGAACAGTAGTGTGTAAGATGAAGTTCTGGAGAAAAAATAAATAACACTTTAGTTTAAGGACCAACTGTCACTGTTAACTAGTTGCTTACTAGCTGCATATTACTAGCATATTGGTTGTTTATTAGTACTTACAAAGCACATATTAATGCCTTATTCTAGATCCCTTAATCCTACCCCATATACCTAAATTTAACAACTACCTTACCAACTATTAATGAGCAGCAAATTAGGAGTTAATTGAGGCGAAAGTCATAGTTAATAGTGAGAACTGGTCCTTTAAATAAAGTGTGATCTAAAACCTCACAGTGGATTGGACAACTGCATACCTAAAGAGAAACATGCTCTTCACACGTAATCTGACGTGCATTTGCAGCTTGAAGGGTGTTAAATCTGGACCGTTTGTAGGATTTTGTCTTGATGATCAATGTAACATACAGTCCTGGGTGTATTATTCTAAAACACCGATTATTATCACAGCAGCATATTTGATTAGTTAATGAATATTGAGATAAAGCATTAAAAGTGAATGAGAGGTACTCACATCTTCATTGGTGGTCTGATTGGAGCTGATCAGGTAGGTATGGAAGCCTGACAGTCCCACGATGGACCAGACGGAGAAAAAGCACACCACCACTTCCAGAACAGTACAACCGTCAAGGAAAATAGAAATCTATACATGCATTACTTCATCCACTTATTATAAAAGCTGACTGGCAGCTTCAGCAAATGGATCCGTATCAAAGAACTCAAGCACACTAGAAATACTGGGTCTGTAGAGCGTCATCCCACCACTGCAATCCAGACACCTGAATCGCATCTTTAAAATGCTGAAGGTGTGCTCGACTACACCGCACTTCTGGATATGTGCCCGGCGGAGCTCTTTGTCATTTGATGAATCACTGCTGCCATGATCAATAGAAAATACACACAAACGTTTAGTTTTTAAAATTCCATTAAGTACCTGTTTTCTACAAGTAGGCCTACTAATATATACTGCAAAAATAAACAGCACTGATTTTTGTCAATAAGGCACATCTATGAAGAGTTTAATTTACACTGCCTTTCAAAAGTTTGAGGTCAATAAGATTTTTTAAAGGTCCCCTGAAGTGCCTTGAAACCTGTTTTTTTTTACAGTCTATGCTTGAAACAGGCAGCGTTATTCTATGTGGTGACGTAATTTCAACTGAAACAGGAAGACAGGGCAGGACATATCGAGCAGCCCCGCCCCCTTTTTAAATTAGCCAATAGCGTTTTGTTTATATCTGCACGGGTCAGAGGGAGCCGTTGAGCTCGGTAAAGCCGCATTTGACAGCCACAGTCTAATAGTTTACCCCTTAGATTCAATATGAAACTCTTAGTAAAACAAAATAGTGATCATAATCATGCTGAGGCTGTGTAGTTTTAAAAGTGTTTAATATATGCTGACTCGCGCATATGATACGCTCCGTGCGATCGTGTCTCTGGACCGGCTTACTCTCAATTTAGTTGTTTCACCGCGGTTCGCGTGAAACAACGTGAAACCAGACCTCATTTGCCCCAATCAAAAGCATACACTGTCTGAATCGTTCCCTCTCGCCTACATTGTGCACTACGTGCCATTCACTGTACAGGAAATACTACACTGTGAACAAGCGACCGATCTCGCCCGAGCTTCAGCGTCTATTTATAGTGTAGGGGGCGGGCGCTTCGGCTTCTAGAGAGCGTTTGATTGGTCAGAAGATTTGATGAAAAGATGAAGTACGATGTGACGTCAAAAAAATCGTTGAGCCGTTTTGGCGGAAGCGACGAACTGAAAGCTTTGAATGCTTATATCTTCTAAATGCGAGTTTTGTCACTGTTTTTGAGCACACTGCCTTATAGATAACCTTAAGACTAACATATTGATACTAACACCCAAAAAACTTTCATTTTGATTTCATGGGGACTTTAAATGTTTTTGAAAGAAGTCTCTTAAGACTGCATTTATTTAATCAAAAATACAACAAAACTGTAAATTTCGTATATTTATTTATTTCTATTTAATTTTAAAGAAGTCTCTTCTGCGCACCATTTATTTGATCAGTAATATTGTGAAATATTACTAATTAAAACATTGTTTTAATATTTTAAAATGTAATTTATTTCTGTGACGGCGAAACTGAATTTTCAGCATCATTACGCCAGTCTTCAAAAATCATTTCAATGGTCATTTGGTGCTTAAGACACATTTCTTATTATTTTCAATGTTGAAAACAGTTGTGCTGCTTAGTTTTTGTGGCAACTGTGATAAAATGTTAATTTTTTTTTTCCAGGATTTTTTTGATGAATAGAAAGTTCAAAGGACCAGCATTAATTTAAAATAGAAATATTTTGTATAATTAAATTTTTTTACTGTGACTTTTGATCAATTCAATTGTAATTTTATTTAACAACAACAACAACTTATTGACCACAAACTTTTGAAGAGTATTGCTTTATATATGACACAACAGCACTTGTTTTTAAAAAATAAATCTTGAATGGAATTGATTAGCGCAAAAGGTACATGCTTAAAGAATACAATTTAAGGTTTATGCTTAAAACAAGAAAAAAATCAATTATATTTACATAAATATATTTTCTGAATTATAATATGTTATGTAATTCTGCCTAACAACTGAAGTTAGCTTGTTTAAAGGGAATTAAGATATATTCAAAAATACTAAAGCTGGTTTTTGCTGGCACTAGCATGTGTTGACTTGCTTGCTTATGAGAGTAAGTCTATCATGAAGCAATAAATGATGCATGACAAGCTAATAATTGACCGCCAGCAGGAAGCAGGAAGCAGTCCTCACTAATGAACAAGACAGCGAGACGTCCCTTTGCTAATACAAATCACTCTTCTACAAGCCAAACTCAGATATGCAAACAGACCGTATTTAATAGCATATAGCTTTCCATTGAAAAGAGAGGGGTCCAGACGCATAGCAATGAAGATGTAGAGAAAGTCAGTGTGGGCTGCTTTTCTGCATGTGTGTTCCTGAGGTGTGAAAACCAGAAATAGACTCCTATTGCACCGCCTCTTCCCACACACACTTTAGTGAAAGGATATCTAGCAGGGCTGTCTTTGAGAGCACTAAGAAAGCCAGTCCTGTTGGATCCTGCAGGAAAAGCACTGGTTATGTAACAAAGGAACGCTGTCACAGAAACATGAAACACAAGTCTCAAATGAAAAAGCAGGCGGCATATTGAGCAAAGAATCACTGGAATAAGAAATTAACCAGCTGCTGTCTTACAGATGTTTGCAGGCACTAAATCCTAGAGTTTTACGGAATACCAAGATGCCACAGCTATCGCAGCTATCGTTAATTAAGGAAACGTGCGAGCATACCTTGTCTCCTTGTTTAAAAAGTGTACTTATGGAAATAATATAAAAAATAAGGTTACACTTTATTTTAAGGTGTCCTTGTTACAGTGTAATTATACATATAAGTACTGAGTAATATTAATTAACAACATGTACTTATGGTTAGGGTTAGGATTAGGGTTACTTGCATGTAATAATGCATAATTAATTGTTATTATAATAGTAAGTACATGTAACGTGTAACAAGGACACCTTAAAATAAAGTGCTACCAGAAATACTATACTTAAGTGTGAACTGAATGTAATGTTTTTGGGCACTGAATTGCATGTTATTTAAAATTAAGTTCTATAATTAAAATATACTTTTCATATCATATATCATATATGCAAATAGATTAAGTACTTTTTGACTCAATTAAACTGGACTTAACTACATCTTTACATGCAATTTCATATTTACTTATGTCTTACGCTTAAAGTATACCGTAAAATGTACTTACAAGCATTTATGGCAAATTAAATCAACTTTAATGTCATTTCTATTTAAACTTGTATGTAAGTATTTAGTATTGTGATGATAAAGTTGCAGTTTAGCATATTTAAAATATAATACATTTAAACTTTAATTGCAATATTAAATTAATAATTAATATTAAATTATATGGTTACACTTTATTTTAAGGTGTCCTTGTTACAATGCAATTATACATATAAGTACTGAGTAATATTAATTAACTACATGTACTTACTATGTGGTTAGGGTTAGGATTAGGGTTAGTTGCATGTAATTATGCATAATTCATTGTTATTATAATAGTAAGTACATGTAACATGTGTAACAAGGACACCTTAAAATAAAGTGTTACCTTATATTTTAATATTAAATACTAAAATTATAGTCAATTATAGCTTTACATGTGCTTTAGTATGTTAGTCCCCACAATCAAAATAAGTGTACTTTCAAGCATGAAAAAATAAATAAGTCATTGTCATGAAAGTGTACTTTCTTTAAGTACACTTAAGTGGCATTTTATTTTATTAATGTTATATTATCTGCAAGTAGTTTTTTTTTTAATATTATTTTTACATGTAACATACTCTACAATTGCACAATAAATGCAACTAGGCACACAACCTTTTTTTTCACAAGGGATGGTATTAACATTTATATTAGGTGATTTAACGTAATTTTGCGATCCAATCGCACGTAGGTAGTCAGAAACGCATATGACCATGTTGGATTTGGATTTAATGCTAATGCATCCTGATGCATCTTGAACAAATCACTGCCATTTGGGAGCAAAAGTGATGAGTTTTGGTGATTTTTTTAAATATCTTTAACATGCAGTAACACACTGATGTTGTAAGCAATGCATGCAGTCACATACTCAGAGACCCCTTCCTCAAGATGTGTTCACAAGACACACTGGTGAGACGCATGTTATTACCAAGCATGAATTCTGATCTGCCTCAGCTGACCTCCTGTGAACAGATCACCCAGGAGGATATTAATACCATAAACAAAGCATCCACTGATGCAAAGGTCAAGACTTGATTGTGCTGCCGATTGTGGAATCTAAGTATTCCATATTCATGCTTTCTCCCTCGTACACTGTCCTAGTTATGGAACTGCTATGGAAATTGTTCAGATTTTAAATTCGTGACTCTGCTATTTGCTTGTGATGGTGAAGTAGGTTACATTTTTTAATATGTTATTTTGCTTTAAAATGTGACCACAACTCACAACACAAGTGTGCACTGCATTCTAAGTGCTGCCACAAGAGGCACAGCAACCCTTAACGTAAACTTTTATTGACTTTATTGTCTTTTATTGACATGCAAAACACATTAAATGTGTACATCATGTCAGCATGCTTGCAATGCATTAGCCAAGCATTCGCATCAGTGTTTGCCCTTGTGAGAAATTCTGCTTAGTTCAACTGAATGTGCACTTGTACTGTACTTCAAATTTTAAAACTATATTAAAAAACAAATGAACATGCAGATAACATAATAGTAAGGAAATAAAAGGCCACTTAAGTGAACAAGTACACTTTCAATACTATGTTTCTTAACACACTTAAGTACACTTTGTAATAATGTCAAATTAGTACTTTTTAAAACAATTTTAAATAATTATTTTAATAATCTTATATCATATTATTTATTAAATACACTTAATCTGATGTGTTGACTAACATACTAAACACATGTAAAGCACTTGATTATAAGTTTAACTGTTGTGTTATTCAGATTATATAGTCAATGTACTAAACTGTAACTTCATTATTAAAAAAAATTTGTAATTAATTACAAATCTATTTTAATACATGACATACACATCTGAACAGAAATTACATTAAAGTATATTTTAGTTTAGATGGTTGTCAGTGCATTCGGCAGTGCACTTGAACCATACTTCAAAAACAATATAATTAATTATGACATTACATATGATAAAAGATGATGTACTAAAAGATGTATTTAAGTCTTACTTAAGCGGGTCAAAAAAAAAAAAAAGAACTCTAAAGTTCAGCTAATTGCATTTAATATAAATGTTACATAATACATTTTCATTGAATTGCAATTAACGTGCAATTATGTATTCAAAAACATTATATTCAGTGCACTTAAGTTTATCCTTTTAAAATGTATTATATTTGTAACAGCATTTCCCGGTCTTAATACTCTGGATAATACATGACAATACCATGTTTTTCTTCACTACCATGGTATTATGAACTACCTTGGAGTACCACACTATATGTGACCCTGGAGCACAAAACCAGTCTTAGGTCGCTGGGGGATATTTGTAGCAATAGCCAAAAATACATTGCATGGGTCAAAATTATTGATTTTTCTTTTATGCCAAAAATCATTAGGATATTAAGTAAAGATCATGTTCCATAAAGATATTTAGTAAATTTCCTACCGTAAATATATCAAAACTTAATTTTTGATTAATAATATGCATTGATAAGAACTTTATTTGGACAACTTTAAAGGCGATTTTCTCAAAGTTTTGATTTTTTTTGCACCCTCAGAATCCAGATTTTCAAATAGTTGTATCTTGGCCAAATATCCTATCCTAACAAACCATACATCAGTGGAGAGATTATTTATTCAGCTTTCAGATAATGTATAAATCTCAATTTCAGAAAATTGACCCTTATGACTGGTTTTGTGGTCCAGGGTCACATATGGACATGAATGAATGAATATTTATAAGTACATGAAAATCTTTCAGTATCACGCAGTATTTTGAAAGCACCGTGATATTACAATTTGACACCATCGCTGTCCCATGATGCACCAATCCCTAAGCGACTGTCCTGACACTCTCAATGCATTCACCTTCTGGACTGCTTCAAAGTCAGCCACTGTGTTTGATGCTAATGGTTTCCAGAGGGCATCTGAGGAGAGATTCGTGGGTAAATAAAGCCGCACTGAGTGTGCCCTGTCCAATAAACATCTTACAGGAGCCATTTGTCACTACAGCAACCCCAGAGTGCCCCTGCCCTCACGGCCCGATTGATCAGTTCAGTGCAGTAAACAGCGCTGAGCTCTCCATTACTTTGCCCAGGGAGGAAACTGCTTTGTCAGCGGCCTCATGGATTCCTCCTGCCAGTCAACAGCCGATCGATGTGGGAAGCTGAACCATACATTACAGTGATGAAGAACCAGTACTAGGTCTTGAACGGGCATTTCGGAGCAAATACTCACCAGAAATATTGGTCTGAAATGTTTGAGGTAAGAAACAGTGTTGGGGGAAGTTGCGTTACTTAGTTACTTTTAATGGAAAGTAATGCGATAGGTTACTTGTGTGTTACTTTTTCTCATCTGGGCAGGGCTTTCTTTCTTTTTTTTTTGTAAATGTAAATTCATGTCTGTACAGTAGAGACAGGTAGCTCATATTTTGGATTGCATGAAGAATAGGACGCAATAGAAGAAAGTTCAACACTAAATAAAAAACAACAACAACAAAAAAGTCATATTTGCTTGCTAGTGTGGTTGAACTGGATCATCAAAGGTCAGCAGTAAAGACATTGGTTAATAAAACGGGATTAAATACGTAAAGGATATTTGTGTTATTTAACATAATTAATTATTGCAGCTTTGTGTCATATGTTGAGTTGCATTTCACTGTTTTGATTCATTTTTAGGAATACTATATCTGTTTTTGTGCAAGTGATTAATGAATTCATAATTAATAACAAATTTAATAAACTTCTATAAGTATATCCAACCTTACCCAGATACATCCAGTACACTTTTGGTACAGTACAAACTGTATGTTCTATATCGTTGAAAAATTTAACTATATTATTGCCCAGCAACGTATTAAAAGCTGGATATATAGTACATCCTATTTTTCCTTTGTACATACAGTATACTCACATAAACCAATATATACTATATTGCTATATTATATCATTGCAATCAACTGTAAATATAAAATTAGAAAATTGCATACATATTATATGCAACTTTACTTGCATACATACAGTATACAAACGTGAAGCGATATATACTATATAGCAAATCTCAACTGGCTAATTTTTATTATGTAATTATGTCTAAATGTATATGCACACATACAGTAAATTTGACTTGACTTGACCAACCGGTTGCATCAGGAATAAACTGTACTTTACTATTTACTGTACTATTTCTATTACGATCTTGAAAACCCCAAACTGGCAAATCCTGGTTTAGGAAAAAGCAAAAACACTGAGTTGTTTTGCTGAACGCTGTTAAATAAGACTAGGTGTGTTTTGGGACTGAAGGGTGAAGTTATATAAGAAGGTAGGTGGTCAGCACTCTTACTCAGTATTACGTGCGTGATGACGAAGGCGAAGATGAAGATGGTGAGGAAGGAGAGTGAGAGGATGAACAGGTAGAAGAAGCGATAGTTCCTCCTCCCCACGCAGTTGCCCACCCACGGGCAGTGATGATCAAATCTCTCTGAGGAGAAACGCACAGCCAGGAAAATCATATGTTAGCTCTTCTTTACGTGATGCTGACTATTATATAAACATATTTGCAGACACATACAGTATACACAGATGCTTACCCACGCAGTTGTCACACAGGCTGCAGTGTGAGGCCCGCGGCGGTCGGAAGATCTTGCAGGTGAAACAGTATTTTAGCTTGACTGTTTGACCGTTAATGAGCACCTCTCTGGTTCGGGGTGGTGGTCTGTAGCCTGGGCCACTCGGGCCGTTAGTTGTATCTGTGAAACCAGAACAGACCGATTGCAGAAAATAAAAAAAATTAAAAAAAAATGGAAGAGGAAATCTCTTCTATTGCATGCCAGTATGATGTTGTCTACTACAGAAAATCCTTCAGTTTGTAAAAAACAAAAATGGCATTTATAGTAAAGCAGTTACAATGGAAGAATATTGGGCAAGGCGTTTTAGAGTTTAAATGTTAGATGAGTTGTCTAAATCACGTTATTTTATGTAAATATGTGTACTGCTTACGAGAATTTGTGTACATAATGTTCTGTGGCTGTGCTTTCAAAACAGCAAGTGTTTTAAAGTTTATCCATTGGTCATTTTGTCTTGGCCTATAGACATTCATTATACACGCATTATTGTATATTACCGTTTTTACAAAATGAAGGGCAAATCACATTTATTATGTGTGGCAATCAGCAGTATGTCACAGATACTGAAATTCCTTATATATATCCTTACAAAAATCCTTACCCTTTATTCCAAGCCATATTATGAACAAATTAATTAAATTAAATAATAATAAATAATGCAATAAATTAACCTATTAGACAAATCAGCATATTAGAATAATTTCTGAAAAAATTCAGCTTTGCCATCACACGAATAAATAACATTTTTAAATATATTAAAATAGAAAACAGTTATTTTACATTGTTTTAACTGTACTTCTAATCAAATAATTGCAACTTTGGTTGCATAAGAGACTTCTTTCAAAACTAAAAAAAAAAAAAACTAGTAGATGCACTATTGATGGCATTGATGTTTGTTCACAGGATGCACAAGAACCAATGGAATTTGGCCTCAGTGGTGTCAATTTTTGTTGTCTATATCAGAGCTTAGGCAAGGAGGAAGATGATCAGTGAATAACTTAAACTTTAGTCTGTGCTTCACACAAAGCTATGACTTGCATAACTGGCACAAGTCTTATCAACCATTTTTCTGAGTAACTGATGGATTCTAACTTCCGTTAGGATGCTGTTGTGTTCCCGTCTCCATAGAAATCCATGTTAAAACGGTGTAATAAGATCGACTGAATTCATTAACCTGAAACTTTTTCAGTGCTACTAAATATAAAAGTGTGCGCATGGTTAAGCGGTGCCACAGTAACAGCAATAAGCTGTAAAGTACTTGTTTTGCGCACCAGCAAATCTGTCCGTGTCTGGCAGTGTATGTGTTGCATTCTATGTCAAACTCTGATAAGAGAAAACGAGCATGGCCCATTAAAAGTTAAAATAGTGTGTGTAAAATAATAAAGTAATGTGTTAAAATAATGTGTGCTCATCATTTCGTGGACAAAATCCTCCGAACTTCGCACCGATTAAAGCTGTAGGGAGGGTATGTGCACTCATGTGCACTTACTGTGAAGTGATTTTGGCACCATGTGCTTTTTAAAACCATTTCCATAGGTTTAGCGTAATAGGAAACTTAAAATTTGACTAGAAACACCAGAGACCGGAAATGTAAAGCATCACTCCAGTCGGGAGAGACTTCCTCGTTCAGGCAAAAGGACTAATATTATGGTGCATTCTGGAGCTTGACAGACTTTAGGGCCTTTCGCACCGCGGGAACCTTTTCATAGTACCAGTGCACCGTGGGAACCTTTTCATAGTACCAGAACTAATTGTGGAACTACCCACTTTTTGGCGTTTTCACACCACCGGAACTGGGTGCGATTTTAGTACCGGACTGCCTTTTTTGAAAACCAAATTAGCTCCTACAGGGCAGGGTCTAACCAGCACAACTGGTTGTTTTTCTTTGTTTCTGTTGTTGAACGCCGCGCACAAATTACGACGCTGTTGACCGGCTTACGTCACTTCTTAGTACACACTCTCGGTGCGAATGCAACCCTTTAAATGGTACTGGGAAATAGTTCGCGCAAAATCGTCCCAGTAATTTAGTACTGTACATTTAGTTCTGGAACTAAAGCGGTGCGAAAGGCCCTATTGTTCAAAACTTCCCTTTTGTGTTCCACAGAAAAAAAGTCACATGGGTTTTAAGGGTGAGGGTAAATTATGACAGAATTTTCATTTTTGAGTAAACTATTGCTTTAATGAGCTCACATCTTATGTGACCCTCAACATGCTAAGCATCTTCTAAGCAGCACACAGCGCCGCTGGGGCTCACAGCAGTGTTTACTTGCTACTATATTATTCATACAAACAGCAGGGACACATAACTCCAAATCCCGAGCTAAAGTGCACTTCCCTGGCTCAGTACCAGTGATTTCAATTTCTCACCAGTGGAGTCCACTAAATTCTGTCTCAATGACAGTCCAGCAACTCATTATAGCAGTGACTCCATTCAATTATAACCAGCAAATTCATATGCAAGCGAATTAAATCAACCTGCGCACTGTGGAAAATGTCCACTAATTTGTTGTGTTATGTCATAAAATTGACTAAATTCACAGTTAAATTTTGAATGTAGTACGAAATTGCTGTTAAATCTTCCTTGCTGGCCCTTTAATAATACCCAAACCAACCTATGAACATCCATTATCTCGTGACTGATTAAACTATCAGACTGAATAACATGAACAAATACTCTGAGAGACCGTGAATCTTTGCTAGGGATGAATATTTCAGCAGATTTTATATTACTCTGGTGTGACAGCAAACCTGAGAGAGAGCATGCATTATTCATATCAAATGAGAAGCGAGAATAACATCAAATGTTCTCCGTCTCCTTTTACTCGGAGAATTCTCTGTAGTGCACTGCACAGACCTGCAACCGGAGCCTGCAAATTCAGCTCAATGTGAAAAGAACAGAACGTGGAAAGACAGACAGGAAGAGCGATCATCTTGGCATTTGCTCCCACCTATCTGCCTCTCGATGTCGGCTGCTTCCTCTGGTGTGGCCCTGGGCAGGACGCCCGGGTCGCTGAAGCTCGCCCGGAGCAGCATTCCCATCACAAAGATGAACAGCACTCCTCCGATGGCCGGAATGGCAGGGGTCAGGTTTGATGCCAGGAACGGGCAGCTGGAAAAGAGGGAATGGAAAAACTGGCTGTGAAGGTCATGTGGTGCTGCTAGTAAATACCACCGGTAGGAAATACAAGAGATATGAAGGAACCACAACAAACACAACGCTGATGATCAAGCAAAACTGTCAAGACTGCTTATTAATGGTCCTGTCTTTTGGCTGTAGTAAAAATCAAAAGCATTTACAGTCAGTCTGCTATGCAATAACATTATAACTGTGTTATTACAATGTAATAAATACTGACTACTTCTAAAAAGCACAGTAAACACTTCCTCTGTCTGCAATTTTTTAGTCAAACAGACAGTTCTACCCCAAAGTCAACCTACAAATAGCTCACATATGGCCGATATATATACAGTATATGTGTGTGTGTGTGTGTGTGTGTGTGTGATACAGACTAATGCAGTTTATTAAAACAGTTGAGACTCATATTTGCTCAAATGTAATCTTACAGAATATTTTCTGAAAATTCACAAAAACGATTTGAAATGGAAATTATGAATTATTAATTTATAAGGATGAATATATTTGGGGTATATTTGTAGCAATAGCCAAAAAAAACATTGCATGGGTCAAAATTATCGATTTTTCTTTTATGCCAAAAATCATTAGGATATTAAGTAAAGATCATGTTTATAAAAATGGAAACAAAATGTTCATGTAAATTTCCTACCAAAAATATATCAAAACTTAATTTTTGATTAGTAATATGCATTGCTAAGAACTTAATTTTGACAAATTTAAAGGCGATTTTCTCAATATTTAGATTTTCTTGCACCCTCAGATTCCAGATTTTCAAATAGTTGTATCTCGGCCAAATATTGTCCTATTATAAAAATTCAAAATTTTGTTACAAAAATAAGTAGTAAGTAACAGGGTCCGAAATTAACAGGGGCTTGGGGCAAAATGCCACCAAAATGAATAAAAATACCCCCCATATTCAAGATAATGTCATTAATTAACCACATGTACTTACTATATGGTTAAGGTTCGGGTTAGGTTTAGGGTTAGTTACTTGTAATTATGCATAATTTACTGTTATTACTATAGTAAGTACATGTAACGTGTAACAACATTACCCATCTGTTATATAATAAACAACAGACAATACATTAGGACTGCACAATTAATCGAATTTCTAATCGTGATTACAATTACGGATGCCACAATTTCATAATTGTTCAAAGGCGCACTTACAAAAAAAAAAAAAAAAAAAAAAAAAAAAAAAAAGTTC